AGGATCAGGTGGCAGAGCTGGGCCCAAGCTGAAAGTGGGGTGGAGAACATGCAATTGACAGTGTGCAGGAGCAGACAGTGGAGAGTTAGAGTCCAACAGAGAGGGAGGGCCAAGACCCCATGTGGGCAGCCAGACTCTGCCAGGACCCAAAATTGGCCCCAGGCCCAGCACTATGGTGATCCCTGCAATCCCGCTAGATTCGATTTTCCTTAACCTTGTTGGACCACAGACTCCTGGACTGGAAGTCAGCCTGCTCCCTGCCATCCTGAGACCTGACTAAAATAGCCAATCATTCTGTGTCAGCCTCAGGTGGCAAACAAGAAAAGCAGCATTTCCAGTAAACATGCCCATAACCTCACCTCACATGGCTTTACTGGGCTAGAGGTGTGCCAAAGATGCCTGCCTTATGGTGATGGCATCATCCTGCAGAAAAATTTCCCACGACAGGAGCACGATCAATCCACAATGAGCAGCTTACTCTAAGAAAGGGAAGGCAGGGCCTGATAGCTGGACCTGTCAGATTAACTAAATCCTATCACTTAGAGAAATACAACAAAATGAATCCAAAATGTTCACTAGCTCACAGGCCCTCAATCTCTCAACCCTTTTCAAGATTTTGAAAAAGCTGTTGAACCTTCTCCCAAGGAATCCTACATAGAGTTAGAAAGCTACGTTGTCTCCTTCCTAGGTCCCTGGGATGGGAGCTTGAAGCCACCTTGTCAGAAAGCACATTTGCTGTGATAGTATGTGACCCTCTGAGTGAACTTCCTATAAAATGAACAGACTGGCAGGGGGGCAAAACACCAACACAAGGGCACCTGGTGGCTGGCTGTGCTCTGCACACACTCTGGTGGGCAGGACAATGTGGCAGATGCAGTAGCCTCACTTGACAACCTTTGCAACCAGGCCTTTCCACCAAATGCCAATCATCCCTTGAACGTTTATTCTAAAGATTTCCAGTTCAAATGTTTTTCTACACTGTATTTCAATGTCCTATATTGAAGGAGAATAGAGTTTGGGATCCCACTTTGGCATATTGATTATTTTAGGCTAGTTAATTTTAAGAAACAGCAGACCTGGGAGAAGCTCTGAAAACCCAGAAGTTACCCTCTGTAAAACTCAATTACATTTGTAAGGGCAACCTCCATTTGCAAGGGGGTTCCCTCACCGTACCTGTCCTACTTTCACTGTCAGAGAAGGCAGGGGCTTAAAGCTGCAGAAAAACCTTAGGCTGGTTTTCTGTGCTTTGCCTGGGAACCTCCCGTAACAGGCTCTCCACCCCCAATGTCATCTTTTGTCACTAGCTGAAGATGGTACTGAAGATGATGGCTTCCACCATTTTGGTGAGTTACTAGTGTTCCTGGATCTCTCCAAAGTATGTTACTAAACTTTAATATGCTTTTCTCATACTAACCTGTCTTCTGTTAATTTGATTATTACTCCAGCCAGAACTTGAAGGGTAGAGGATGATTTTCCTCCCTAACAGTGTCTTCTTAAACAGCTTGTACAAAATAGAGGGGTAACTTATCACAGCTGTGTGTGGCCTGTCCCAATGATCTAAGACAGTGCCCCCATGTGGCGCCTGCAGCTTCCCTCACCCTCACCCTCTGTGACCCCAGCCTGCTAAGTTCTGACTTCCCTTATTTGAACTGTTTTTATTTCCTCGTCCCCAATGTCATCAGTACAATCATTTTAGGAAGGAAAACAGGGCACACACATATTCCCACTAACGGATGGGCTGAGGGCAAGGCGAGTTCTGGTGCAGAAGTTCTGAAGTTGGTGTCTGTGAACCTGATTGAGAAAAAGTATCACATCTTTATTTGCAATAATCTCTGGCTGAAATCTAGTTCTCACTCATTATGAGGGTAGACATTAAATCCTGGAGTTCCAGCCCAGCCGGGGTGGCTCAGTGGTTGAGTGTCAACCTCTGAACCAGGTCATGGTTCGATGTCAAGGCACATGCCCGGGTTGCGGGCTCAATCCCCAGTGTGGGGTGTGCAGGAGGCAGCTGATCAATGATTCCCTCTCATCATTGACGTTTCTATCTCTCCCTCTCCCTTTCTCTCTAAAATCATTAAATTTTTTTTCCAGCCCAGCCGGGGTGGCTCAGTGGTTGAGTGTCAACCTCTGAACCAGGTCATGGTTCGATGTCAAGGCACATGCCCGGGTTGCGGGCTCAATCCCCAGTGTGGGGTGTGCAGGAGGCAGCTGATCAATGATTCCCTCTCATCATTGACGTTTCTATCTCTCCCTCTCGCTTTCTCTCTAAAATCATTAAATTTTTTTAAAAAATCTTGGCATTCCAGCAGTACCTGTAGGTTTTTTAAAAAAATTTTTATTTTATTGATTTTTTACAGAGAAGGGAGAGGGACAGGGAGTTAGAAACATCGATGAGAGAAAAACATGGATCAGCTGCCTCCTGCACACCCCCAACTGGGGACGTGCCCACAATCAAGGTACATGCCCCTGACCCTTCAGTCCACAGGCTGACACTCCATCCACCGAGCCAAACCAATCAGGGCAGTACCTGTAGCTTTTTCACCAACAGAAACCACAAATATCTTCACAAAGCGCTAGAGTTGCTTCAGAAATCTCAGTTGTCAGTTACTTGTCACCGCTGCATAGGAACTGCTACAGCCAGTGCTCAGTCTGTTACTAATTCAGCTAATAAACTCACTGAGGAACTCCATCACCGTTTGGTTCGATATTTTGATAACTGTATTTCAGTAATAATGGGTTCTCTTCTTGATCCTATTTTATCTAAAACTGATTGTTTTCAACAGTGCGCCACATGAATTTTTAAAACATACAATACCTGACTAGTCAGGGGCACTGACCCCTTCCCCTTAGACTGTCAAATAAACAACAACAGCCAACACAATGGCTGTCTGGTGTGAATGAATCAAAGTTAAACCAATTATCTTTTGTCTGATTGGCAGAAAATGTATTTTTTGGTGTGTCATGCAAGGAGAAAGGCTGAACACCGCTGACCCACACCGGCTACACCGAGAGCCCAGAGGCTGGGCGGACACAGGAAAGGCTCCCAAGGGCCGATGCTTTGCATCAGCCGCAGTTTCAGCGTTTTCTTTTAAACGGTCTCAAAATGCTTAATAATTTGCAACAAAAGTGAAAGTTCTAACTAGAATGTTCCTGCTCATGAAGTGCTTTTCTGAAGTTACAGCTGACACAGATGTGAAGGGATGTAAACTAGGGGCAGGACCCAGCAAGAGGTTCGCACCAGCATGGTTCACATGCAACCTGCTGACCGTCAGTCTCCAGCAGGACCCTCGGGTCAAGTCCGGTTTCAGGCCGGTTTCCAGTCTAAAGCAGGAAGCGCACTTTATTGCTGGGCAGAAGGCACCGGACAGTGAGCGTCGCTCAACGTGCACGGGACAGTCCGTCAAACACTAAGGGGGTGACGCGCTCGCCACTCTCCACTCGGGAAACGGAGGAAGGGAGGGAAGGCAGGTGGACGGGCAGGCTGCCATCTTCCCAATCAATGCGCCAGGCTCAGGTGCATCACCACCAACTACCTGCAAACTTCACCTCCGTCCTTCCTCTGCAGCAGCTAGAATGTACTGTATAACGTATTCTGTAATTTATTTCA